GGTGGGGGGGGTGGGGAGAGGGACGGTGACACTGAACAAAATAAACCTACAAGGCCTACAAAGGGGAAAATGAAGTCAAGCGCATTTGTTCACCCGACCGTGCGGTCCCGGCGCTGAAAGGTCTCCTCTTACAAAGAGGCGCACAGCACCCCGAGCGGGCCGTGCCGGGCACCAGGGGGCGCCTGGAGAGAGGCGGGGGCCCGGCCGCCGCACCTGGGAGAGGGCTGGCGCGTCGGGTCGGAGGAGGCGGGGAGCCGAGGCTGTTGGTGAGCCCTGGACCGCAGGGCAGGGAGACAGGGAACCCCAGGGGGCGGGGGTGCGGAGGGGTCGCAGGGAGCGCGAGGCCGTGCCCAGCACTGGCCTCGGCTGGTCCTGCCCTTCGCCCGTCCTCGCGGGTACCCGCACGCCGGGGGGCCTCGCACTTCCCTGGTCCTCGGCCCTTGGCGGAGTTCTCGCCTCGCTCCCTTAGCTTCTCCTGGTGTCACCCTCAGACGCCTCTTCAACACCCAGCTCCCCCTAGCTGCACATCGCACTCCCCACTCCAACACCCCCTGCGCACAGGAACTGCCTCCATGCACCGGCTAAATCCCAAAGTTTTACATCTTCACCTAAGAGCCATCCTCAAAAGCTGCCGAAATAAACCCTGCTGCTCCCAGCTCCCCGCACACTCCAGATCCGCAGCCTGCCTCCGCCCCAATCGCTATTGGGCCTGGGGACTGTCTGCAAATTAGGACCCAAGATAGACTTGCCCTGCACTGGGGTTGGGCGTAGGGCCGGGGCCCGGGCGCAGACTAGAGGCGCCGGGCCAGGATGGAGCTTCCTGGGCAGAGCGCGCGCCCTCTATACCCGGCAGAGACACAAACCCGGGTGTACCGAGGCGCGGGCGCCAAGAGCGGTGTGATCCCCGTTATTGCCAAGTACGGGCCTTGAAATCCAAATGCATCCCCTCCGGGACTCCCCATGTCTCTCTCTTCTGCAGAGAAACGCGCTTAGACCTCACATGAGCAGTGGAGAAGCGGGCTAGTGGGGTGCCAGCCTGGCCGGTGCTCCCCGCATCCACATCCCCCGAGTGCGGGCCTGGGGCGGCGGGGTCGCGTTCGGAAAAACCAGGAAGCACCCCTCAGAAGTCCGAAGGATTCGAGAAACTTGGACAATCCCATCCTTGTGCTTGACAACCCCCCCCCCCCCCCCCCCTCAGGGAGCTGAGGAGAGTAAGGTGGCGCCCCCTGCCCACCTCGCCTACCTCTCCATGGGCCCTCCCCCCGCCCCTTCAGGGAGGATAAGTGAGGGTGGGGAAATTCCATGTGTAGCGTCCAAAGGGGCACAGCCACCTCCCGGTCCAAATGCAGATTCATATTCATGAGAGCGGAATAAATAAAGACAAATCCCTGCTGTAATAACACTTGCATTCGCATCCGTCTTTGCTGGCCTTTAGGTTTAGGGGACTGAAGACAGATGTTTGCATCTCTTTTCTCCTCTTGTCTGGTGACCATAAAGAAAAACCATTTAGAGCGTTGCAATTTGTTTCCCGCCGCAGTAAAACCTTGTACACATTTATTTTCATTTCACCCCGGTGCACAAAAAAGTGCACACTGGTCACCAAGGGCCCTTCTTTATCAAATACGCATTGTACAACATACAACTGCAATAAAACTATCAGCCCTCCCCATAAAACTATCACCAGGCTCCTCGGCAGGTCGGGCTGCCTGCACTCCCGATGTTGGCGCTTCCTCACGTTTCGAGGACGCGCAGTCACCTGAAACCAGCCTGAAACTTACCCAGCCGAGAAGCACAAGGCTGGGGGGCCGCTGTCCCTGTTTAATCCATTACGGCGTCCGCTGCAGTTCAGTGCGCAATAAAACACGGTGGCAGTGGAGAGCGGGCGCCCATCCACTCCCCGGCACTAGCATCGAATTAAACCACTTAGTTTGGCGAACACTGAACGCCTAAATGCCCCTATAAAGACTTTATGAGTTTGTTACTTTAATTACTGACTTGTTACAGAGCACATAAAGGGGGTAATGAATGCAATAAAACTAATTATCTACACATTTAATTCATATAAAATATCCAGGGTTTGTTTACACCACACGGCGATTCAACTAAGCATTCCCCCTCTTGTCCACCGAGAGGAAGGATTTAATGAAATAGTTTCCCTTATTCTGCTAGAGCCTAACGAACCAAATGAAAATTACCCTCCGCTTAAATCATGCGGCCACCGAGGTCCACAAATCACGGCTCGCTGCTTTGTCTGTGCCTCGCTGCCAGCACCCAAGAGCCTGAGGAGTCGGACAGGAAAAGTGCACGACCTGGGGCCTTGGCATTTAAATAGCAAGGATTTCGCTCACTGCAGTCAGCAAACTTGAAAGGGCAAACAGACAGCAGTCCTCTTTTCGAAGCCCCAGGTCTGTGGGGGATTGCGGGCATCTGAAAAAGTGGAGGCGAAAAAGGAGAGGAAGAGCGCCAGAGAGGAATGGAAGAGGAGACACTTTTGGGGACACTTCATGCCCCCTTGCCAGTTACAGCGTAATTAAAACGAACAACCGCACAGAACTTGCAAACCACAAAATGCAAACCTCACGCTAATGCAGACAGACAGAACTGAGCGCCAAGAAGTCATCAGTTGAGAATCCAGATGTTTTACATTCAAGAGCTTTACTCAGATGTTCTTTTGTTTTTTAAGCGGCTGTGTAAGCTGAGTCTCTAGAAAAGCACATTAAGCCGCGACAAGAAATGCAATTTATGAGATGCTCTTTTTCCTACCCGCTCTACCAGGTGTATTTTAAAGAAATCCGCTTATCGTTCACATAAACCCCCTTGGCCCACTTACTCCATGTTACAGGGCGCCTGAGTCTTGCCAATGTCCCAGTCCTTTATAACATTTCATGCACTTCGGGGGGTAGGCTTGTTGTTAAATTGAGCGTGTAACGCTCTTACAAAACAGGTTTTCTATGACATCAAGGTTTCTTCTCTCTAACGGATGGAAAAAAAAAAAAAAGACAGAGGAGGACGAAGAAGGGAGAGAACACACACACTATCTCAATTTATGCCTAAGGTATATGATCAGTTAAAAAGGCTTAAAAGCTCGGGGAAATTGGATCAGGGAGAATCGTCACCCAACTTTCATTATTTCCAAGTAGTGTGATTGAATTAAAGGGCAGGGAGCTGGTTAGAAGGGAGGATCAGGGGCTCAGTGCGTAATGGTGTGGTATTAAATTCTAATTAGAGATGCAGGAATCAATGATAGGGAGGTTGGACAGCTCAGTTCCCCAGTGCCAGCCCAATAGACGGATGAGTTATTGTCATGTAAAAAGCGCCAGCAATAAGACCAACCGCTTTGCTATTGTCCAAGTGGAAAGAGCCAAGTTTATTATGAGGACTATATGCTCTAGAGACCTCAGACAAGGCATCTCATAGGAGGCTTTTTCATAAAACTAGGCTCTGCTGGTAGTAAGGAGGCCAGTTTGGAGGCAGGCGTTGAGCTGCGCACATCTCCCCACTCCAGCCACCTTCTCCATACCCATCTTTTATTTCATTTTTCCACTTGGCTGAGCCATCCAGAGCCTTTTCAATGTATAAAATGGAATATTCTTACCTCAATTCCTCTGCCTACGAGTCCTGTATGGCTGGGATGGACACCTCGAGCCTGGCTTCAGCCTATGCTGACTTCAGTTCCTGCAGCCAGGCCAGTGGCTTCCAGTATAACCCGATAAGGACCACTTTTGGGGCCACGTCCGGCTGCCCGTCCCTCACGCCGGGATCCTGCAGCCTCGGCACCCTCAGGGACCACCAGAGCAGTCCGTACGCCGCAGGTAAGGACCGCCAGCTTTCTCAGCGGAGGAAGCCGCCTTTCCGCTCGTATATAGGAAGCCTTGATTGCATTTGAAAATGGAAATGTGTTTAGTATTTACCAAACGAAATTTGCTTACACAAATGAAAGAATTTATCACGTTAGAAGCGATTGCAGGGAGGGGTAATTCACTTACAGGGTTACACTATCCTAGTCACACCCGAACCGCCAACAAAATTATCTTAAGCTGCCAAAATGATAGGCATAATTTATTTACTTTGCGATGAGACGTAAAGCTTAGAAAATAATTAAATAACAAAGAGTAAAGCTCATTACTGGCAGTGTCTCTTTTTTTAAGGACCGACAGCGGCTCACACCTCTTTGGCTGGTCATTTTTACTATTATTTCTTTAATTTATTATTTTTTTTGCAGCGCTTTCCCCCAACTTTTGGGCCAGGTCAACTTCTGAGAATTGAAAAGTTCCAACAGCGGGAGTGTTTGGTAACTTCTTCCCCGGCTCCCTGATATTCCGACTGATGTTTTCGGACTTTTTTCCTCTCTGATTTTTCCTTATCAAAGCATTATCCCGAGTCCCGGCCCTCAGCGTCTCCAATGCGCTATTTCAACCCACCCGAAGCCGCTTGTGCCTGGAGGGACCCCTCCAAAGCCAGAAGTTTGCGCCCCTGTTTCCGTATATAACCAATTTGCTGCGCTTTTCTCGGCAGCTCCTCTCGGCCGCGCCGGTGTCGGTGGCTGCTCCAGTGCCACCTGACCTCGGAGTCCCCACATTCTAGCTCCGCGGCCTGCGCGCTCCAGACCATTTTGCTCACACTCTGTCCCCTCTGTTGTCCCCCAGTTCCTTACAAACTCTTCACTGACCACGGCGGCCTCAACGAGAAGCGCAAGCAGCGGCGCATCCGCACCACTTTCACGAGCGCGCAGCTCAAAGAGCTGGAGAGGGTCTTCGCGGAGACGCACTACCCCGACATCTACACCCGGGAGGAGCTGGCTCTGAAGATCGACCTCACCGAGGCGCGAGTCCAGGTACGCGCGCCGGGAAACAGACCGGCTTCGCCGCACCGGGTGCGGCAGAGGTGCTGTGGGGGCCAGGGAGGGAGCGGCTGATGCTACCGAAGGTTTGAAATCCCAGGGCCTCTCTTGAGAAGGGCCTGAGGCCCAGGGCTGAACAGAGAGGCCAAGTTCGATGTGGCTGCGCGCGCCGTTGGCTATATAGTCACAGCTACAAAGTGTTTCCCACACCAGCTAGCGCTGCAGAGGCATTCGGGGGCCTTGGGACGTGAATGAGCCAGGCATTTCGGGGACAGGAAGTGTCCTGTGGGAGGAGTGCAGACTTTGCCCCCGTGTTATAAGTATCTTTTGCCAAATGTCTCCTAACTCAAGCGCTTTTAACTTGGAGCCATGGCATATGGGTGCATTTTCCCGGGAACGATGACTTGCGTCAGATTCGCAAAGGGACTGTAACTCTATGAAGGTCGAGAACCGCGGCTTACTGTAATCTTTTAGGGACACAGGTGCGCTCACGAATAAGTCACGGCGCCTCTCCAGGCGAACTCCCCAGTGGAGGGGCGGTGCGCACCATCGCACTTTTCTCCAGGTCCAAAGGCCAGGATGGGCAGCAGGCACCAAACCCAAAGACCCCCTCCTCCTACCAATTAGAGTTTAACTTTAGACCTGAGGCCTGGGGACGACAGCGAGTTTGGGGTCGCTCAAGAAGCACGCCGAGCAAACACCCGCCAAAATAAGGGCTTCCATTTTAGGGACTTTCTGGGACCTGCGGCCTTTTTCCCTCTCCTGCAAGCTCCATTTCCTGGCATGCTCAGATCACCCTGAGAAAGTTTCTCCGAAGATGCACCAGCCACAAAGCGGGGCAGACTTGGTGGGCTGGGGGTAGACTCGGTGGGCTGAGAGTAGACTTGGTGGGCTGGGTGCGCGCGGGGGTACCCGCGGCGTGTGGAGTTTAAAACAAGCTGAAATGGGAACGTGGGCCGTCCTACTCCGCGCTTTTCTTTCCGGTTTCCTTCTTTCTTCCCCTGCTTCACCGCCTCTCCGTTCCTCTCGGGCCAGGTGTGGTTCCAGAACCGCCGCGCCAAGTTCCGCAAGCAGGAGCGCGCGGCAGCGGCCGCAGCGGCCGCGGCCAAGAACGGCTCTTCGGGAAAGAAGTCTGACTCCTCCCGGGACGACGAGAGCAAAGAGGCCAAGAGCACCGACCCGGACAGCACTGGGGGCCCGGGCCCCAACCCCAACCCCACTCCCAGCTGCGGGGCGAGCGGCGGCGGCGGCGGCGGCGGCGGCGGCGGCTGGAGGCCTGGCGGCGGCCGGGGGCCCCGGACAAGGCTGGGCTCCCGGCCCCGGCCCCATCACCTCCATCCCGGATTCGCTCGGGGGCCCCTTCGCCAGCGTCCTATCTTCGCTCCAAAGACCCAACGGTGCCAAAGCCGCCTTAGTGAAGAGCAGTATGTTCTGATCTGGGATCCGGCGGCGGCGGCGGCGGCGCCAGGGGGCGAGCCGGGGCGGGCGGGCGAGGGGGCGAGCGGGTAGGCCCAAGGCTATTGTCGTCGCTGCTGCCGTGGCTTTTTCTTGAGAGCCTAAAGTAATCGCGATAAGAATAAAGAGAAAATGGCGTCGCCCCCATTTCAACCCCACTCCTACCCCCATCCTGAACCCCGAAACAAAACAAAACAAAAAACTTCCCTGGCTTCGCACCTGCCTCAGGGCCGCGCAGACGGGCCAGGGCTCAGCCTGCTGGCTGGGCGCAGCGCGGCCTGGACTCGGGGCCACTCTCAGGGGGCTGTGTCTGCGTGTCGGTGTATGTCTGTCTCGGGGAATGTGTCTGTGGCCCGAGCAGGTGACAGGGAGAGATGGGCAGGCGGCACAACCGACTCAGTGACTTGCTTAGAAAATGAGAAAAACAAAAATACCCCAAAATTAAAAAAAAAAAATAGGAAGGCAGTAACCATTAAGAAAACTCGAAAAGGTTTTAAAATCCAAAAAAAAAAAAAAAAGAGGGAAAAGGGGGAGGCTGCAGTTGGCACTGTCTGAGGGCTCTGTCTTGTGAACCCCTAAATTCGCGCCCTCCTGACAGCACAGACTCCCTTGAGGCTCCTCCACAAGGGAGAGTAGGGGCGCCTTCCAGCCCCTTTTCCTTTAGTGTCCTCGGGTTCGGGCCGCTGCGGCGACGACTCGTGCAGACTGTCCCCGCGGCCAAGGTGACTTCCTAGCGCCCGCTTGCCTGTCCCACCTCGCCGAACGCCATTCTGCCATTAGCGCATCCGAACCCCACACGGTTGCACTCCCAACCCCGAATCTTTGCAGCCTCTCGGCCCTCAAAGATGTCCTATACATGAGATGCCTTTTCATCCGCAAACTCTGCAAACTGTCTCATATTTCGCAACTCTTCCCCTTTTTTCTCTCCCGCCACCCCCACCGGCATTTTCTTCTTCCACCAGCTTTTACTGAACTTTTTGGCACTGCTTTGGATTGGAGTCGATTGCAGTCCACGCAACTGGCTGCAGAGAAATCTACTGAGCAAGGGAAAGGCGGGCACACGCAAGTTTGCAGAAGTGTCTCAGTTTGCATTTCTGTTTGATCCGAAATGGACTCACATCCTTGAATGGTGGATGGACTGTATAGATGATTCCATTCTTCGCGCAGTTTAGACATCTCTGTTGGGATTTGGGTTTTTTTTTTGTTTTTTATTTTAAAAGGCACAAACTATAGATATTAGTTGAATGTTGAGGCTTTAACTTTTTCGGTGTCTTTCTACAACTGTGTTCTGTGACTCAATTGTATCGTGTTAATATCAGTACAGACCGTCTCCTCTACGTGACCGTATAATGTTTTTCTCTTCTTGTAGTCTCTATGGCGTGTCTTTATGGAGTAATAAGGTTCTCACGGGTTCAATTCCTTTGTGTTTAGAGAGACCACGGTTCAAACAATGGTATATATTTTTGTTATCAGGTGCATGTCTGTCTGATTTCTTTTTTTCTTCTTGTTGGACTATGTTTGTGAACATAAGTCATAAGTTATGTTTCAGATTTTCGAATTTATTTATATGTGTTATGATGAATGCTTCTATTTAAAAGGGAAATATTTCTACATGTGCATATAGTTTTCCAAGAGTGTACCATTAACTTGATTGTTGATAATAAAAACAAAAAGCAAGTCTAGTAATTGAACTCTTCTGACTTTTCCTTGATTCGTTTTGGTTTGGTTCGATTTTTTTTTCTTCATTTAACTTCAAAAATGATAAATGAGGACAGAGGAAATTGTACAAAATATCTAGAAGCCGCCGCAGCTCTGGAAACCTAGGCGAGTTGGGGAGTCTAAATTCATGCACCCAAATCCAGTCAATATTAAATTTAGTGCTTGGGATAGCGGGCCATGAGCGCATCCGAACCCCGTGCTTGTATGTCTCCCAATCGCCAAGCACAAAAGAACACCAGGACGTTGATAAAAATGTTCAGATCGGTGCCTAGGCTGCAGCCACACGGACTCCGTGGGGGAGTGAAGGCACGATTCTAATACTCGACTTTGAGGAGGACTAGAAAAGTGCGGATTCCGAGCGCAGGCGCCTTCAGGAGGTCCCGCGAGCTCCGGGCAGTCCACCCTCCTTACGCCTAGAAGACTGAAGACTGCCAGCACCCAGTGACACCAGAGGGGCTCTGCACAGGCAGGTGGATCAGGAGATAGCCGGCAGAGAGCAGCTCTGCAACGCTGGTGTGTTAGGAGAAAAAACATCGACAATGATTGGAATTAGCGAGCACTTGGCATGTACCAGGTTGTTTCCATGCATTATCTCATCTACCCCTCAAAACAACATCAGGAAGCAGGTACAATTCCTATCTTCATTTTCTTTTAAACAGATGAGGAAGCTGATGCAACAGAGAGATGAACTTGCTCCAGTCCCCCATGTGTGAGTAATGGGGCCAGCCTTTGAACCCAGGAAATCCGATTCTAGAACCTGCACATTAACTACACCAATGGTTCCCAAAGTATGGTCCCTGAACCAGCAGCATCAGCATCACCTGGGAGCTTGTTAGACAGATGAGTTCTCAGATCCCATCCTAGATCTGCTGAATCAGAAACTCTGGGAGTGGGACCCAGCAATCTGTGTTTTTACAAGCCCTATGGAGGATATGAGGACCACTGAGCTATATTGTAAGAAACCCAAATGGGAAGGTTCCAGAATTGGGACTATGTTAGGAATAGGTGTGTGTGTGGGTGCTCTGGCAGCTTCAGTGATCCCCCTTTGGAAGGAAGGAATTGTCACCACAGCCCCAAGATGGAATCTGCCTCTTCCTTGGACTGTTGGGCTGGGCCACCTTCTTCAAGCAGAAGCCTGTGTGGACTTCTGGTACTTACCTTGTTACCGCTCTGGTTGGGCATTATCAATAGATAAGTCAGCTCCCCTCATTTAGGGAGAGGCCACAGTCTGCCTCCTCTGGTCTGAGAATTAGCAGCTGATCTGGTTTGAATTTATCAGGGCTTCTCACCTTAAGCATTCAAATATGGCTTGCATCAGATCAGGCAGGTTTCTCAGAAATTTCAAACCTTTGGATCTTATCTAACTTCTAATAGCTTTTCTAAAGGACTTTTAAATAGTCTTAAAAAATTTTTTCTCTCTGAATGTCCTTCAGTTAACTCCAATATTCTATAAACAATGGCATTAATTGTGCTGGTCTAAAATGCCAGCAGCTGCCAGATCCTTAGACCCAGTCTTGGGTTGTAAATATAACTTAGAAGGTCTAGGAGAAGCAAAAAGAAGGCAGGAGTTTATTGAAGAAAAGAGCATTCAAAGCCCAGGTAACCCAGTCCTGGGCTTGGCTGGAGGATAAGTAGCCTTCCCTTAGGCTTTGAGGGCCACCAGGTAAGCCTCTGTGAGCTGATGGGCAGGCCAGTGGGACAGGCATTCTGGAAAAGGCAAGAGCAGGAGAGAGAAAGAAAACAAGAAGTAGAAAGAGGAAGAAGAGAGACAGAGAAAGAAGAGGAAAAACAAAGAGCCAAAGGAGAGTTTTTGGAAACCCCAGTGAAGACCCTAGAAATCCTTTCAGATGTGAACGAACTAGATGAGGATCCCCAAATTCCCTTCTCCTGGCCTTGACTGGCTTTGAGTGACTTATCTCCAGGATAAGGGACACCCTGGGGATGGGTGAGGAAAACAGACTTCCCATCCCCACGCCACCCCTGCTTTCCAGAGGACTGCATTTTAAATGTCTGGAGGCACTCAGCTTTAGTATTTTGAATATCAACTTCTTTTTTTTTTTTTTTTTTTAGGAGATATGGCTCAAGAATTTTATTCTCAACCAAAGCCTTTTTTTTTTTTGTGAGGAAGATCAGCCCTGAGCTAACATCCATGCTAATCCTCCTGTTTTTGCTGAGGAAGACTGGCCCTGGGCTAACATCTGTGCCTATCTTCCTCCACTTTATATGGGACGCCGCCACAGCATGGCTTGACAAGTGGTGCGTTGGTGCGCGCCTGGGATCCGAACCCGGGCCACCAGTAGCGGAGCGCGGGCACTTAACCGCTACGCCACGGGGCCGGCCCCTCAACTTCTTTTTAATTTGGGTCACCTCTGCTTCTTTTACTGGTCAAAGAAGCAAACTGTTGGGAGGCAAGTTTATGATCAAATGCAAAATAATGGCCCTGTAATCTGATGGAGCCCAGTGGCAGGACGCCGTGTCTCTCACACTGTGTCATTTCCTTGGAGCCCTGCACAGTGTGAACAAGCTCACTTTCACTTTTCCTCTCCTGAGGAATTTGCATTTTGGCTCATCAAGTCATCCTTTTTCCTGGCAACTCCAGGACCACATGTGACTTCACAAAAGCTTCGTGAGCTGATGCCAGATGGCCACCTCTAAGCTAAGTCTCCTTCAAGATGGCTGAGTACAGAGAACCAGAGAGTGGTTTCGGGGGTGGGGGGGCTGATAAGCCAGCAAATAGTAGCTGTCTATACCTCACCCCAGATGCTTCTCTGTGGCCACCGCGTGTCTTTAGGAAGACAGCCTGTGGCTAGATAGAGAGGGCCCTCAATTCAGGGAAAGGATCTGTGTGACCTTGGAAGGCAAATAACTTAATCCCTCTGAGCCTGATTCACCAACCACAAATGTGAATAAGAATACAGCCTTGTGGGGTTTGGGGGGGGTGGGAATTAAGTAAGATGTACAACAAGTATCTGGCATAGTAGTAGGTTTTCAGCAAATGTCAGATATTATTATTAATATTATTATTATTATTATGTAACTCCTAGATTCTTTCTTGATCTCCCTGGTTCAGGCCTCAAAAGATTAAAAAGAGCCCTCAGTTGTCACTAATGTCAATGGCCCAGGAACACAGAGTGTGAGAGAATATGCAAAGGTTGGAATTGGAGAACTTTGCTGAGGGTGACAGTAACAGCCTAGAATCAGCCAAGAGCTGAGAAGCAATAACTACTGATATTTCCTGAGTGCTCATTATGTGCCAGGCACTTTTAAGCTTACAAGCGTTGAAGCATGAAATCCTCACGACTACCCTATGAGAAAAGTCCTATTCCCATTTTTTTCTTAGGAAGAAACTGAATCATAGAGGGGTTAGTAACATGCTGAGGGTCACACAGCTGGTAGTACTGCAGCAGGAATCCCAGTTCCAGCTGGTTTGTCTCTAGAGCCCATGCTCTTTAACCACTGTTCTTTCCAGTCTCCGCAAGGGGAAGACTTCGTTTAACCCGGGAGGAGATTTCATCTTGCAAAAAGATTCCGAAAGGTAGGAGAAGGTTGGAAAAGGCAACAGGAGGAGTGGTGTTGGGACGAGAATCCCAGGGAGATTCAGAATGAAGTCCATGGCCTGAAAGGGAGCAGGCTTTGGGATCCCCAGGAGGAGGAAGGATGTTTTCTGTGAGGCAACATATTTACAGCTCACAGTCTCTTTCTGGTA